AGACAGAGAAAGCATATGGTTTTGGAGACCTTTATTTATTCATTGAAAATCATTAAACTATCACAAAACCATTGCCTGAGATTTTATTATTCTCCTTTGTTTCTTTTGTTGCTAATTTTTTTATAAGTTTTGGCTTAATGATGCTATTCAAATTATAGTGCAATATGGCATTTAAAAAATGAGCAATCTCAAAATTATATTTTGCAGTTATTGGGTTTGTTTACTAGGAACTGCAGTTAGCATGTTTTTGTTGTTGTTTTAATAGCACCTGTTGTTTTCTAGGACACAGGAAACTGCAGGACAGAAACAAACACAAATATTTGTTCAGACTTTCACACGTTTATAATGAGATATAAATGCTAGAGAAATTAAATCTCGGTTGAACAATCTTGAATGCATCTATTCTATAAGCGAATAATCAGTTGTGCTTCTAACCTTTTATTCCGTTCTTCAAAGTATAAAAATCCACAGCATACACAAAGGCCATGTTTAACAGTTTAGTGCACTTTTAAAGGCACATTTGTCTCAGAACATTTATGTGGAAATAAAAGAACTGGCAAGGGGTCAGACAACATTCTAAATCTAACAATTATTTACTACATACCAGGTTGTTAAGATTTTTCTCCCCTTTTTTGCTTGGGACCAATTGTTTTCAAATTATAAATAGACAATATGGTCCTAAGTGCTGTAAAAGGATCCTTACAAGCTCACCAGTGTACTGTAACACTTGTGAGTCCAAATAAGTCCAAATATTCCTGGCACTATTATTAAAAAGATAATTTGCTGAAATGTACTATCCTATTCAATGAAAGGCTTTTAGGATGTCTTCATTCTTATTATAATGCTCATGTTTTGAAAAAAACAGTTTACACAGATAACCTTAGAAAGGACATAAAAGAGTGAAAATTTTCCCAATAAGATACTGCAATTAATATGGATTTTAAATTCTGAATTTATCTTAAACAAAGACTGCCAGTGCAACAAATCTTAGACATGAATTTTAAGATTTAAACTGATAATTAAGATATACCAGATTTCTTGATAATTGAATTTTATGTCATTACTTAAGGGTGACTCTATTGGCTTAACTCTCAGATCTTCAAGAAATGCACATTTTTGATCAAACAGCAAAAAAGAGAACTCCGTGCAGTACAAATATTATTTTGGTTCATATGCCTTTCTTGAAGCATGAGCTGTATAGTTTCCCTAAAATAAAAGTAACTTTTCTTAATTTTTAATAAAAATATCCATAGTATACAACCCTAAATGATTGATAAAGCTGTCCATCCATATTGCAATACATTGAATGCTACAGATAATTAGATATTTGGTAATTATTAATTATGTACAATCAAGTCTGCCTTGCCATTGCTTGTCTTCTTCTTGTTTCTTGCCATTTCTCCAAGCATATAGCTCTTCCACTTGAACTAGGTATTCCCATGAGGTGTCCAAAAAACCTTACTGTTTGTGCCTTGAGGAAGAATTCTGGATTAACTTGTTCTATGATCCAATCGTTTGTTATCTCGGCTAACCCTGATATTCTTAGGAATCTTCTTCAAACCTAACATTCAAAAGCGCCAACACTCTTTCTATTCTGGCTCCTTGAAAGCCCAACTTTCAGTTCTCCTGAGTGTTAGAGATAAAACCATTACCTGAAGAATTCCACAGGTACACAGATACATGATATTTGAATACATTTCCAAAGTCTTCTTTGGTACCTTACTAAGTGCTAATCTGTTGCACATTTGATTGCTGGTTACTTCTTATGGTTGATCAAAAAGAAGCTATCTACCATTTAAATATATTCCTTCCTTACAACTCTGTCAGCTCTAACGTTGGCTAATGGACCTATTATGATGACTGTGGTTTACTTTGCATTTAATCTTATGTTTCCTGTTTTCATTCTGCTGATTGATTTTTGCTGCTTGATCATTTGTATTTTCATCTGGAAGAGTAATATTATCAACATAGTATAAGTAGTTGCCAACTTATGACTAATTTGTTAAAGAGTGGTTTGGGTGACACTATAGCAAAATGTATCAGACGACTAAGTACAAAGAGTCTGAATTAATTCTCTAACGTAGAGTTAGAAAACTGTAATTCAGTGGGGGTTTTGCTAGCTTTGGGTTTTAGCTTCGGCTCTGGGGCCAGTATTCTTCAACAATTTTATTAATGACCTGGATGATGGTAAGGATGAGCAACATATTAAATTTAAGTTTAACAGAAAGTTGAGAGATCTAGCCAACATACAGTATGACAGCAAATTTCAGACTGATCTGGAGGAATTCGTAGACTGGGCTGAGAGGAACAGGATGTCTTTTACTAGGGAGAGAAGTAAAATATTACATTTAAGTAGGAAAAAAATGTAGGATACATGTGTACAAAATGGGGAATTCATGATTTGGAAACACTGAAAAGGATTTAGATGTGATCACTGATAACAATCTGAACATAAAAGACTAACACAATACTGAGCTGCATTAGAAACCATGTATGAAGGAAGCATGAAGTTATCAGTTTTCACTACCTGGCATTGGTGAGACCACACTTCGAGTACTGTACATGTTTCTAGACATCACATTTACAGAAAGATATTGACAGCTTGGAGATGGTTCAGAAAATGACAACAAACACCATTCAGAGACTTTAGGATATCCCCTACAAGATAATAGATTAAAGGAGTTTACAATGTTTAGTTTGGAAATAGCCATGCTCAGGTATATAAAGGGAAAACACGGGGAACTTGATCAAAAACTACTTCCCACAGAAGCAGAAATAGATAATGTAAGTTATTCCCTAAATTTCAGTTAAATATAATTCTTTTTTAAAATCTTCCTGATAGATTTATACAACTGTGTAAGAGACTATCTGTGGGTTCTCCACCTATGGAACAGAGAGACAGCCCTTATGGAAAACTGTTTTTCACAATTTAGAGCAGGGGTGTCAAACTCAAGGCCTGGGAGGGGGGTGGATCTGGCCCACAGGGTGCTTTCATCTGGCCCATGCAGCTACCCTGGAAACAGAGAAGGATCAGCCTGCGGAGCCTCTGCCAGTGAAAACGGAGCTCAAGAGGGCCATCCATAGCCCTCCCAAGCTCCATTTTCTTTGGCAGAAGGTTGCAGGAGACTGTTACAGCCAAAAATGAAGTTCGGGAGCCCGTTTTCACTGGCAGAGCGCTCAGGCCACCACAGGCATCCCCAACATGAGTGACATCAAATTGGACACACCCACCTTGGCCACGTCCCCCACCCCCCCGCCTCCCTGAGGTCAAACACAACCCTGATGTGGCCCTCAATTAAATCGAGTTTGATACCCCTGCTTTAGAGGGTTGATCTTGTGGCCCCTCCCAACCCTACAGTTGTATGATTCTTTAAAAAAGTTTATATCTTTTGAATAAAACTTTCATTATTTTAAAAAATGCCATTTTTAAAGCAGCGATTCTCAACCTTTTCTTCACCACAGACCTCCTTTAAATACATTTTATGACCATAGACCATGGTCATGGACCCCCAAGGCTCAAGATTTAAATCATAACATTCCTTCAAGCCTTTGTGGACCTCCTGTGACATCGCCCCCCCCCCCCCACCCGGGTCCACAGACCGAAAACCACAGCTTTAAAGCATTGGAAGGTATTTAACAGTCATTTTGTGTATGTGTTGTGCATTGATTTCTAAACAGTGGTTGGTACTCAGAAAATGTAAAAGCTAAGCATTTAACAGCACTGTTAATAACACAGCCAATGAGGAAGTAATTTCAATGCATGTTAAATCAAAATATTGTCACACCCTTTGCCTCATATGCAAAAGCCAGGACAATATGGAGGCAAACATAATGCAGAGAGACATAAATAAGCTCTGTAGTACTAATTGGACACAATACTGCAATCTGCAAAGTTGATTAACACCCCCGTTCTCAGGCTGGGAAATGCAGTGGCAGAATTAGGCATCTGAATATGCATGGCTTCTATAATTACAACTCTCTTTAAAATCTGTTCACTTGATGAAATTGTGTTTCACATTATTGTGATAGCTCTGCATGCCTTGGAAAATAGATAAATAAAATGACTATGTACAGAGAAAGCATCCTACAAATCAGTCCATGTATACATAACAGTAAGTTCACTTTTTTAAAAAAATAGCAATCTGGAAAACTATCAGGTTTATTTGAGAATTTGATTTGATGTCTGGGGGAAAAGAGCTTGATTTACTTTGGACTAGATTAGTAGATCATCAAACCACAATCTCAAATAACCCTTCAGGGCAGGGTGGTGATAAAATGAAAGTCCAGGGCCATAAACTGCATAAAGTTTGCTAGGGCTGTGCAAGACAATTGAAAGAGGTGCCTCATAAAACTGTAACAATATGTTCAAAATATTTTGTTTAATCATTACAACAGTCACTTTGTTTGCGAAGCTCACTTGGCTATTTCACACGCAAATATAGTCAGGGACAGCTATCAAAGCAATCACAAAAATCTTGCAAACTGTCTTATTTGCTTTAAGGATTTAAAGACAGCTGCTTCCAAATCAAAGTCCCATGCTCGCAGAGCAAAGCACTGGTTTCAAATGCTTTGTACAATCACGTTATTTACTAAAGTCATACCTATCTGTATAACCAAATACAAACTTGCTTGTATTATGTATTACTGTAAGCTACCATAAGTCAGTTATGATTTTGCTGAATGTAAACCTGAAGGATGGATGGGAGAGGGGGGGGGGGATAAAGAATAGTCCCTCTTTTCCAAACACATAGAATTCTTAATAGAAGCAACAATAACATTTGCCCAAGGCAATTACAAATAAAACCACATGGTTATTACTGAGAGTATGGTTTGTAGTGAAACTAACTGAATCCTTTTAGAGTATAAAGTACAATACTTGCTGTTGTTGGAAAAAAAAAAAAACAAGGACAGATTGAATCATTAGATAATTCATTTCTGTTTTTTTTATAAAATCCATGTATTTGTTACAATCAATAATTGCAAAACACAACCCCACTCACCTTATATACAGCAGGAACAATTTGGTGCATTTTTAGCCTATGAAATACAAACACGTCATAAACTGCTGACACTGCCAGCACGGTCACTCCTTGCTCCTTCCATAACATGCTGCAAGTGGCACACAGACCAGCACCCAAGATCCAGCCCCAGGTTCCTTCTGAGTAGCTTCTTGTACAGCAGTGTTTAATGTAACAGACTAGGGAGAGCAGAAAGAAAAGGCAAGCTCCAATATCAGCTCTTCCCACAATCCCTGCCACTGCTTCAGTGTGAATGGGATGAGAAGCAAACAGCAAACCAGCTAATAAGGTCCAGTGTCCATCACCAAACAGCACTCGAGAAAAATTAGTGAAAAGACCCGTGACTGCTGCATGTAGAAGGACATTTATGAGGTGGTAACTCCAAGGATCCATTCCTCCAATAGCATAGTTAATGCGAAAAGAGAGTGTGCAGAGAGGTCTGTAGGATTTATGGCTCCCACTGTGGGTCAGAAGAGTGCCCCAAAAGTCATTATAGAATAACTGTGTCCATGGTGTTTCAGGAAGAAGATCTTGGTTTGTCTTGATTGCTCGGCTACAAAAAACAAAACAAATACAAAAATAATCAAACTACATGACAACAATAAATGGAATTGCTAAAGAATATAACTAAAATTAACAAATTTGTTTTCAATTTTGATATGAAATTAGCATAAAAAGGTACATTATCAAGCATAGTACTTCTTCCTCCATTTTAAACTCAATTCTCCATTTTAAACTCCACACAAGTAGTGATAGAAGTGCTGCTTCTACTAACTTTTCAATTCAACGAATTTCCTCATCAATTGGCTTTTCAGACCTTGGAAACATAGGATACATTAACTTAAAACAGTTCATTTATCTGAGCCTAATCCAGAAGCAATCATTGATAAATTATAATTATGATGTAAAAGAAATATAATCAACTAAAAAACTGTGACTGAAATTTACAGATAAATGTCTCAAAAAAAGAGATAGCTACTTAATAGGAGTAGGAAAGGTAGCCAAAAGTTTATAGATTTGAAGGTCTATACTTTGGTTCCACACGAAGTACAAACGTATATAATTTGCCTTTGATATCCACATATTTTAGGCAACAGATTGCCTCCTATTCTTCTCTTTGCAACTATTTATACACTGAAAATGATTGCTCCAGAGAAACAGAAACCTTCAACTTGCTGATGGAATGATTTTCATTACTGGAAACATCCCACTGGATTTTCCTCTCAATTCATAGAAAAGCATACAGAATCATTTCAAATTAAATTGAAGTTCTACTTTTTAAAAAAAACATTTTGACCATCTGATTGAGAATGAAAGAAACAGGTTCTTACTGTTAATTGATAAGGATTAAACACATACACACTATACTATTTAAAGCAGAATTAGGAATCTTGCGACCTCCAAATTTATTTATAAGTGTATTATATTTCTTCATTTTATTTGAGTCTTAAGAGGTACGTGTTTAGTCAAAATGTGATAAAATGCTATATACAAATGAATGACACAATAACGCATGATAATATTGCATAATACAATATTGGTGACATGGATAGTTCACTCAATAAAAGAAATCACTAAAAGCCTTCTGTACAGAGAGGTCTTGATGTATTCCAAAAGATCATGACAGCCATAATAGGAAGGACTGTTCTATACAAATATTGCCTATTTCCAAGCCCCTCTGACCAAATGTCCTGGTTTGGGAGGGATTTATAGCAGCACTTTTGATTTATATTTGTTGGACACATTGATTTTACTTGGGATACGTACTCTCACACTTTCTCAGATCCCAATCCCATTAGAATTTTTTAAGTAACAACCAATACCTTGAATCACATGTAACACCTGAAAATATAGTACTTGGCCTATAAGCACACATACATTTGGCATCAGTTGAAGTGTTCAAGTCATCGAGTTCACGTACCATCCTGTTTTAGGAAAAACCAAGTTTCTAGTCTGCTTCTTCTAGAGTTCTTAAAGAGGAGGTGAACCAGATTTCCTTTGAGATTATCTACAGCAAGAATCCTACCCCTATCTTGCAGATGGCCAGATGCAGCAGGTGTCAAGTGGTGGTATCACAAGATGTCAGCTCTATCAAAAGACTGCACTATGGCCATTTCCAATCTCTCTTTCTCTACCATCACTTACTTTTCCATTTCCACCGTATTTTCCTTTCCTGGTTTACCCATATGCCTCCATCTGAGAGAGTGTCACTGGCCCAAAGTCACGCAGTTGGCTTCATGCCTACAGTGGGACTAAAATGCATGATCTACTGGTTTCCAGTGCGGTACTATAACTAACTGCATCAAATTGTCCCTCACAGTAACTAACTGAAATAAAAAACCGAGTGTGGGTTTGGTTGCTTGTAACCGGCAGTTTCTTACTGGAATATGTTAGTAATACAGATAGTTCTCAATTTACGACCACAACCGAGACCAAAATTTCAGTTGCTAAGGGAGACATTTGTTAAGTTAACTTTGCCCCAATTTACGACCTTTCTTGCCAAGGGTTGTTAGGTGAATCATTGCCCTTGTTAAGTTGGCAACATGGTTATGGCTGGCTTCCCCATTCACTTTGCTTGTCAGAAGGTCATAAAAGGGGATCACATGATCTTGGGACATTGAAATTTTCATAAATACATGCCAGTTACTAAGTGTCCGAATTTTGATTATGTGATCACAGGGATCTGCAATGGACATAAGTGTGAAATATGGTCAAAAGTCACTTTTTAATGCCACCATAACTTCAAATAGTCTCTAAACAAACTGTTGTAAATTGAGGACTACCCATATTAAGCTAAACCTACAAAGGGAGCAAGTCACTGATGTATTATTTTTTTTCCTTGTAGATGTTATTTTCTTCAACAAAAGTGTTTAAAGAAAACAATATCTGAAATTATTTGCAAATATGGTAAATGAAGAAAGCTGAAGAAATATTTTTTTCTTATTAAATGCTTATTTGGGATTTAAATAAATTAAGCATAAAAGAGAAAATAAGGATGTTCCAATTCTAAACATATTCCAATTTCATATCCAAAATATTGACTTATTTATCTTTTGGAGTTTCTGAAGGTCAGACAATCAGTTTTTCAGAGTAGTTATTACTGAAAAAGTGTAAAATCAAACTTCAATACTGCTATCTCAGTGGTGTTGTTACTAAGTACATTTGCACCTTATTACTTTCAGGCATAATTAATATTCTCACTTTTCTGAAATAAAAATGCATTAACAAATTAAACAATGATGGGTTCTTTTAGCAGTTGACAGTTTTTGTTTTTGTTCAGATTGAAAACAATGAGTAAATTTATTAACTTCTTGACAAAGACTAGAAGCATTTCTGCATAATATTCTAGGTACTTAATGTTTTCTGAAAGAGATTTTTGACTGAAGGGACAAACTAGCACCGGGTTAGTGTTATCAATAGGTTCTCTAACAAAAACATTATCTTCCATAGACATTCTTCTTATTAATCCAACGTCACTATAATAAAAGAAATTATCTATGGGCTGTTCAATAAAAGATTATAATCTCTGCTCTCTCTGAAAGGCAAAGTGTCATAAAGAAAGTCATTTGTCAAAGTTCCAAGCAAGTCTTGCTTTTTTTTGTTGTTGTTGTTTGGCAAAGACAGTATTTGCTGGCTCTGAAGTAAAGTCTACCTTTCAAGTTTTAATCACACTTCATTTTACACATCCCAGGAGGAAACTATGCCTTACTCAAGAAATCACTAATGGATTATATAGGGTCGTGGAAAGTCAGTTATCACTGTTTTAAATAACCAAACTGTTCTGGTTGGGTTTTTTTTTTTAAAGGAAAATAAAATGATGGCAAATCCTCTGCAAAAACAAAACCATTTATTCAATGATCAGTCAACATTACACAAAATTACTAGACGCAGAAAAACAACTCTACAAGGAAGAATTGTTCCAGCAGGCATGATTAAACTCCATCCACATGAAGCTTCTCTTGCACAGGTTACCTCAACTCACCTTAATAGTAGGAAGATAAAATCCACCAAGGCTTAAACAATATCATGGGTATTACAAAACAGGATCACATCGAAGGGAATCATACCATTTATTCAGATTGACATTGCCCTCTGCCTAGGTTACATCGCTTTCATTTCTAAAAATATTGCCAGAAAAAACAGAAATACAAATGATTTCACAAAGTCTATCTACCTATAGAGCTGGATGTCTAGATGACAATAACGACTTCAACTAGAAATCAAAATATATTGTAACAAAGGATTTTTAAAAGATCAATACATTATCTATTGATGACTAGAAGCTTCTAATGGACTTTTGCATAAAAATGGGGAAAACTTAAATTGTGATTTATGAAGTCAAAGATAATAACAAAAGTTTCTTCCAACATATAAATAACAAGAAAAAATTCAAGGAAATAGTCGGTCCACTAAAGAGAGAAGATGGCAAGGAAGTAACAGGCAACAGAGAGAAAGCAGAACTGCTTAACTCATTCTTTGCATCTGTCTTCACGCAAAAAGAAACTATAGCTCAACCCACCAAAAACATAACTGTAAAAAACAGACCAGAAATAAAAGTTAAAATAAGCAAAAAAAATAGTAAGAGAACACCTGTCTGATCTTGATGACAACAAAGCACCGGGGCCTGATAGATTACATCCCAGAGTTTTAAAGGATCTGGCAGAGTCATCTCAGAACCACTGCACCATATCTTTCAAAAATCCTGGAGCACCGGGGAACTACCAGAGGACTGGAAAAGAGCTGATGTGGTTCCCATCTTCAAAAAAGGGAAAAAAACAGACCCATGAAACTATAGACCAATCAGCCTAATATCAATATCTGGGAAGATACTGGAAAAGATAATAACAAAACAGATTTGCCAACATCTAAAAACAAGTAAAGTAATAACTAGCACTCAGCACAGGTTTGTTAAAAACAGATCATGCCAAACCAATCTTATTTCATTCTTCAACACAGTGACTAAATTAGTAGACCAGCAAAATACTGTGGACATAATATATTTAGATTTCAGCAAGCCATTTGACAAAGTAGACCACAACCTACTTCTTAGTAAGCTAGAAAAAAGTGGAATAGATAGCACCACCACTAGATGGATTTGCAACTGGCTGGCAAACCATACTCAATGAGTAGTCCTTAATGGGTCTAAGTCTACATGGAGGGAAGTAAGCAGTGGGGAGCCACAAGGTTCCGTCTTAGGCCCACTACTCTTCAATATCTTCATTAACAACGTAGATGAGGGAATAGAAGGGGAACTTACCAAATTTGCAGATGATACTAAGCTGGCAGGAATAGCTAACGCCCAAGAAGATAGGCTCAAGATCCAGATGGATCTTGACAAACTAGAACACGGGGCCATATCTAATAAAATGAAATTCAATGTAGAGAAAAGTAAAGTCCTATACTTAGGCAAGAAAAACCAAAAGTACCCATATAGACTGGGTGAAACCAGGCTCAATAGCAGTGACTGTGAGAGGGATCTTGGAGTCTTAGTGAACAACCAGCTAAATATGAGCCAGCAGTGTGCAGCAGCCACCAAAAACGTTAATGCAATCC